TATGATATTTTATTTGGATACTTTAGGTTTATTGTTATTTTAGATATTTAAATGTTTTCCTGTGTAAGTAGTCTGAGTGTGGCTGGAGCCTGGGACTCGTTGCCAGCAACTAACTAACAGTCATTGATTGTTACTGATTACATTTAGTAACAATCAGTAACTGATTACTAATGTAATCAAATGTAATCAGTAACAACAAGCTGCTGACACGTAACGAGGAGGAAAGTCGAGTTAGTTCAACCTGCTAGTTAAGATCGTTAAAGATGGACAGCTGTTTTATTTTATTCATCTTTTAAAATTACTTTTTTACTTTTTTCTTCCAGATGTTGTGACTTAAAGTTCAAAACACTTCCTGTACCTGCTTCAAAATAAAAGCGTGAATGATGACGTCACAGTTTAAAGACCTGATGAAAACTCTTCTGTAGAATGAGCCAGTGTTTTCAGAGTAAAGTTCAAACTGTTCAGTGGATCAGGAACAGGACTTTGACCCCCTCTCTCCTCCCCTCTCCTCCCCTCTCCTCCCCTCTACTCCCCTCTTCTCTCCTCCCCTCTCCTCTACTCCCCTCTTCTCTCCTCCCCTCTCCTCTCCCCCTCCCCCTCTACTCTCCTCTCCTCTCCTCTCCCCTCTCCTCTCCTCTCCCCTCTCCTTTCCTCCCCTCTCCTCCCCTCCTCTCTCCTCCCCTCCTCTCCTCTCCTCCTCTCCTCCCCTCCTCTCCTCTCCTCCTCTCCTCCCCTCCTCTCCTCTCCCCCTCCCCCTCTCCTCTCCTCTCCTCCCCTCCCTTCTCCTCCCCTCTCCTCTCCTCCCCACAGCCTCTCTGGGTGATGTCTCCCGTTACATGAGAAGCTTCACCAACATGGCCGAGGTGGACTCCTACCTGTCCTTCAATGTCAGCTCCGCCCTCTGCCTCACCGCCAGCGTCCTGGAGGCGTTTCCACGGCGTCCGGGCCTGCGACGCACCGTGGTCAACGTGTCTTCGCTGTGCTCCGTGAAGCCGTACAGCTCCTGGGTGCTGTACTGCACCGGCAAGGCAGCTCGGGAGATGATGTTCAGGGTGCTGGCGGAGGAGGAGCCCGATGTGCGGGTGCTCAATTACGCTCCAGGTGGGAAACGCTCGATAGAATCATGAACAGCCGAGACTGAAACTAAAATAAAGAATAATTACATGAAATGACACTTAATTATAATGAGTTCATTTTATTCTCGATGTAAATATAAAACGTGTGTGACTTGATCTCATTCTTTTATGTACTGAAGCAGATTCTTGTCCTCTGTTCTCAGGACCTCTGGACACCGACATGTACCAGTTGGCCAGATCCAGAACAGCTGATCCCGCCGTCAAGAAGAATTTTTCAGAAAGGTTCACTCAGGGTCAGGTGCTCACCTGCGATGAGTCCTGCACCAAAATGATGAAGGTGCTGCTGGAGGACAAATACGTCTCTGGATCTCACGTGGACTTCTACGACGTCTAGACCCGACAGCTTACAAGCATTGAGCCGCTCCCATGATGTCATTATGTGCCTTAATATAAAGTCAGACGTTAAAGTACCAGTGTGAAGAGTTTGACCTTCATCGTGATGTTGTCATCAGTGTTTCATCTCCTCGTGTTCTCATTATTTATATCAGTGTTTAAATCTGCTCCGCTCAGACAGAACGAACCAAACACTAGATCCAGTGTGTTGCAATGTGCATCCTCACCACTAGGTGACACTAAATCTGACGCACCAAAGCTTTAATAGGTGAATTTTTAATCTAAATGAATAATGTGTGGCCTTCGTTAAATAGATGTGATTAAATAAAGTTTGTTAAATCTGTTTTCAAAACATTCCAGAAAAAGAGTTAATTCACTGACCCGCCACCGGAGGTGCCATCGTTAACTTCGGTGCCTGCAACGATAGAGAGCGTAGATTTAGACGCTAAAGGAAGAGAACACGAAGGAGCACATCTCCAGATAAACATCGGTTGGTTTCCGTGACGACCGTTCACTTCAAGTGTTCTCAGGTGGAGTCCTGCCACTCGGCGGCCATCTTGTTTTGTGACGTGTAATAACTGTTCTGTGTTCGAGACCCAACAACACTTTTATAAACTTTATTATTTCATATGTTTCAGAAATAAACCAAAAGGAGCCGAAACTGAATATTGTTTTTATTTGATTCTTGTTTTTTAAGTGTTTGAAACTCCAGAAGTGTTTTACACACACACACACACTCACTCACACACTCAC